ACACGAGATGTTATTCTCTTACAAAGGTCTTTTAGTTCCAGTAGCAAATCTTTGAGAATCTACGCAATATATACAGTAGATTGATGTTATACATTACGGGCATTCAATCAAGTACAGAGCTAGGATGGATGGAGTGAGACAGTGTTGTTTTCAAATATATAGCCTAAACATTTCAAACATGAATATTGAGAAAATCTTTGAGATTCTACGCAATATAGAAATTGATGTTATGTATTACCGACATTATTTAGACCGTATATTCATTATACATCGACTGTATAAGGTGCTACACCACAGATTTACGCGCACCGTCATGGACCTTGTTTACATGTCTAGCACTGTCACAACGCCAACGGCGCAAACTTATGTTCAGTGCAACTCTATCAGATCTTGCGAGAATCTATCTGTAACAAAGCTTGTAAAAACTGCTATAAACACTGCTATAACTGTGAAAATATTGAAATCTAAAGTGACATTATTGAATACATGTGAACATTTGGAATAAATCAAAGGTCAATGAGACTTGTTATTGTGAAACATGTCACACCTAGGTTAAAATGCGGAAGCGGACGAAGCGAATCCACGGAACGGATATAGGGATAAAATGCGGAACGGATGGGGATAAAATGTGTCTTTTAATGAATGAGTTTTTTCGCCTCTTTTTTTACGCTCCGAATGCAAATGAAGTTTTAGAATGTGCAAAATTTGGTTGTTGGTCTTTTTTGCTAAAATACGGTAAATTTGCGAAGTTTTGCCCCTTCTTAAGGTTATATTGGAGCTTAGAATTCAATGCTCAAATCGCAGGAAATAGCATTTCCGGGGTTCTAATTTTGAACATTTTCCGGGGGGCATACCCCCCCCTAAAAAGCCTTGCGCCTTCGCCGCTCGAAGCATGACCAATAATTTTTGGCTGGCTTCGCCACTGCTCCCAGCTACTCCCCTCTCCCTCATTCAGTGGCGTAGCGCTCATTGGTTAGGGTTAGTTAAAAAACTAAGGGCCCCTGACAGTTGGGGGCCCCCATCAACCACGGCTTATCGCCCAGAAAATTCAGTAGAAAAGGTAAAAATGCAGGTGAAGAATTAATTGGAAAATGCAAAATTAATAATGCTAAATAATAAAACCTCCATCGACAACGGTTGCTGATTTTTTTATTCCATCTCAAATAAAACAAAAGTTTATTCTTAGTAGTTGTTACATGTGTTGGAGACTGTTATTGTTGTTGTTATAGATACGGAATTTTCCAGAACATTCTATAAATATTCAATATAAAATATAATATCTCAGTCAAACAATGACAACGGTCATCAGGGGCCCCCACACCAAATATGCCTAAGGGCTCCCTCTTCCTCCGTTACGCCACTGCCCTCATTAAGACAGTAAATTGGGTCTGGAACATTTTTGTATTGTGCTTCATTTTGCTTAATGAGAATGAATTGAAATTGTACCTGATCTTCATCTATGTATGATTTTTTTACAAACATTGTGCAGTACAAAACATGCATATATCACCATCGGGATGTTCTCAATTTTCAAATCCATTTTTAGTGCAAAGTTGACGAAGTCAAGTTTGTACTATTGTGATGGGGTGCAAGGCATTACGTCATTACGTGACTCAACAATGGATGGATGGATGAATTGATGGATGGATGTATAGATGTGTAGTGTAAACAATCCGGGGGGAGCGCTTGTAAATTATTTCCGTAGCTTTGCAACGTTCGGCCAGCATATATATTAAAAAATTTTCAAATATGATTTTATATTTTTATTCACAACGACAGATGTTTTTCTGATTTACATTATGTAGCATTTAGAGAAACAATCATAAAATAAATATCAATTTTAAGATATGAATGGCTAATATGTGTAGGTACTTTCTCGCCCTCCGTGCAACAAAATCAAATGAAACAACACACGTGCTCTGCACTGCGCCAATTTTAATATGGCGGTGTCAGAGGAGTCGCAGTACGATGTCGTGTATAGAACGGGTCTATCATTACTATCAAAGTCAAAGATGCAGTCACTTTTAACCTTGTTTTTGTGCTTATATTATCTAACAAAGAAACAGAGTGATACAGAATATAAAAAAGTGCCTGTGGAGTGTGGTCATGATAGTTTTAATATAAATTAGCTTACACATTTTATTAAAAATAACTCAATACCGTATACTACCTATAAGGGTTGTATAAGTATAAACAACTCGCATCTTATATTGCCATTTTGTTGTAACTGTAAAATTTTACTCTGGAGCACAGGCATGCAAAAAGAGACTATGGTTCTTAATTCTTTAATGTTTATATTAAATAACGATGGTAGTTAATGTCATGATCACAGACACAGGCTCTGACAACAGGCGAATCTTACTGCATTTATATCAAAACCTGATTAAATTATTATATAAGACGTACTTAGTTATTGTTATTTTGTCTTGAATATTAAGCCCTTCAACCCAAGCATGTGCGTAAGCATCTGATCAAATGCTATACACTGTCAAAATGTCAATGTAGTAAACAAAGTAGTTAAATGTAGTTCTATAATTAGCGCTGCAAAGCTTATACATTTCAATCACGCAACACAAATATTTTAGCGATTGTGATTTGTTCTAGAGAACTGAACACTGTATGTGCTGCCTCTGATGTGCTGTTTTAGCATGAACATATTTGATTTTTAAATTGGGCGATTGATTTTAAATTAAGGAAATTGAAGGCTCATGCATTATATTTTCTAATGATCGATATAGTCATGTTTATTCAATATAGTCTGCATATTATATATGCCAAGTCTGCAATTTCAGTAAGCAGCTTTATATACATTCTGCATTTTATACATTTTCTGCAGTCTACACTATAGTTTATACTGACTCTAAAGTCTTTATGCTATTTGTCATTATAAAATTCATTAATAATTCATGAGGAAAATACAAAAGAAACAAATGTTTAATCAATGTTTGTAAATCGCATAAAGATTTGTCCTGATTTACATAAACTTCAGCTTTGATTTTCTCACCTTAGACAATGCATGTTTATTTTTAAATTACTTCGCCAATGAACTCATAAGATTGGTCGTTTTCTAAGTACGATAAAACATTCGCATCTTGCCTTCGGCTCGAGTTTGTATATCAGATAAAAAATGTCTAGTACTTGTGGTTCCGTTAGTATGTGTGGTAAAATTATATTTCTGGAAATGTAAACAGCATACTAAAGTGATCAATTAAAATTCTGTAGTATATACAGACTATAAAAGTATAATAATACAGACCATGCACGATAAAGGGTGGATGTGGGGCCTATATATGGACCCCTTATAGTGTGCACACCCCTTATAGTGCTTTCTGGTCAGTTGTCATATCAACTTTGCACTATCCTTGGGATCTCTGAGTT